CACAAATGTGAATAGAGTTTTTTCTAAATATTTTTATTGAGATAGAACAATAACAGTCTTTTGCTCCATGTAATGGAACCTTTAGCCTATTGAACTTCAGCAATGTTCAAAAGTGTCAATAAGCAAAATAAACACAAAGGTTTAATTCGTACTAGCTTTTTATTAATGGAATCATGAGTGTTAAAATATCTTTTGCGTTTGTGATTTACAGAGATGCTGCCTGACTATTTTAATTATATAAAGCACAACATATAATCTAATAATGTACAATGTTTTATTATTTAATTTTAGAATTCATCTTTGTTGTTAGTTCTTCTGAGGATCTCAACATGGTGGTACAGTTCTATAGATACTGTTCTATAGAGTGCTAGAACTCTTCAAAATTAATTGACTGTGACTTCACCTGAAATAGCATTAAGGACAACCGGCAACCAAAGAAATATACTTCCCAAGCCATGTCGGGTGGCTGAGTCACTTCCAAGTTTCTTAGATTTGTTCATTCTGATTTGTTTTAAAGTAAAAATCATCTGCACACATGTATTGAGTAGGTAATGGTACAATGTTTGTATTTGTTTATGTATGTGTGGGAAAGATAGAACTGATAAGATCAAAAATTCAAAATAAAAATAGGAGATAAAAAGTATGTTCTCTATACTTACAGTTTGTATTCATTGTGTGCACTTGGAAGCTGGGACCATTTTTTGTGTCTGTGGTCAGAAACATATTTTCAATTTTTTTTGCAGGTAAAATTTGTTGTGTTGATGGCTGAAAAATAAATGTGACTAGTCATGAACATAATTTTTGTTCAAATATTTTGTAAGCTAAAAAAAAGTTCCTGTTGCAACATCAGTTAAAGGCTTAATATTTTCTTTTGACGTTCTCTATGTGCTACTTTATGGAAGTGGCCATGTATTTAAATTAATTTTTTGATGCTTTGTTAAAATAATGGATGATGTATAATAATATTAAGCATGCACATATATAATACAGTTACTCCACTTTACTAGGATGTTTACAAATGGTACAGAACAACTGTATGCCCACTATGTATTACACTGACATTATACTGCATTAACTGTGGGTATTATTATGCTTTACATCTATTTGTGAAACAGAAATAAACCTATAAATGAACCACAGTGTTAGTTACACTACTGAAACCAATACAGATTGAAACAGAAACTGAAACCAAAACTTGCCGGCAAACTTGATGAATTAGAAATAAAGACCATAGTATAAAGGAAAAATATCGTATAAGATACAATAAACTGGAATAATAAATGGATACAGCCAAGTTGAAAAGAAGAGAAACCCACATAACAAGGAATTTGGATGAACATCTTTATTGAGATTTTAAAATGTCTATGCTTTTTACTGTATTACAAAGAAAAGTTTCAAAACATTATAGTTTTAGAGCTTATAGCCAGATATTAAAACATTCCATTCTGATTAGTAACTAAAAATTCATAAACTCTAACAGAAATGTTCAGTCTAATGTTTGAATTTCAATGCTGATTTCCCCTGAAAATCTGAAAATACTATTAATGTTAAAGTGCTCTTCTAACAGGACCCGAGCCAGAAACTCCAGGTTCAAGACCTACTCCAGGACTTGTTGACCAAAGTAGGAGCATTTACGGACAGCCAAACAGTGTGATCATTCTTGCAAATCTTTTCAACATGCCCATGGGCCTTGGTAGGTGCTAAGAGCGGGTCAGATTTCTGGTCAGCCATGCTTGGTCCAGAGTGATGTTCCTCAAGCTCTGAACACTTGTCTCTTTCCAACCTGGAAAATGTCTGGAGTTTTCTGGAGACAATGGCTAATTAAGAACAGACAATAGCATAACTTACTCAATTGGTCTGTGTTTTATTGTGTTGTGACCCATGAGATCATTAGGATAAGTGTCAACTCTGTCATCACCTGATATCTATAAGTGCAGGGTAATTGGAAAGCAATCAGGAATTGATATTTAGTAAGTTTTCCCTTCCTCTCAATCCTGACATTTGAGATCAGTTGTAACACCTATACTTTCATTTCAGCTGAAACCAAATGATTTACCACAGACTAGGAATATTGTAGCTTCAACAAAACATTTCTGGCTTGTATGCCGCAACAGCCTATTTACTGATTATATTATCGAGGAGCCCGTATTGCTTTTTATTTGATTTGTTGAATCTCTTTCGGCTAAATAACACCATTCAAGGTTGTCTGGTGAAGAAAAAAATGTAGAAAAGATGCAAACATCTGGGATTTTGTGAATAATGCAAAGATCACTCACTGTTAAATGCTCCTGTGTATAATCATCTTGCTCCAAAACATTGTACTATTGAACTATAGCTATAAAGGCTGTCATTCATCTTGAGGTTACAGGAACCTTTGTCCTTGATATACTGTACCAGATTGACCAAAGAAATCACAGTCAATGACTATGATGCTAGCAAAGTTAACATTACCAAAGCCTTTTTTCGGATTACATCCAGTGTATTAGTTTTACTCAATTTTTTCACTTTGGTTGTTTGAAAATTCAGCAAATGTGTCCAACATAATCCTGCATATAATTTTCATAATATAAATTCTGAAATCCAACTTCATTAATTTCTTTTTTGAAAAACCTAAAGAACCACGACATAGTGATGTTACGGTACTTCTGTTAAAATACTTACGCAATAAGTGAAATCAATGCCATTTGGCACAAAAAAAAAATGGTTTCTGTATTATTCACATTTAGATAAATTTTCTGTCCAATGGAATCCTAACACGAAACCTTTTTGCTTCTCGTTCCTATGCACCTACTCAATCGATTCATTTCCCAGATCAGTCATACTGGCACAAACCACTGTCTAATGGTTAGACGCTATAGTTGAAGTAGTCTCACGCCATCCCACTGTTATTATGTGCCTCGTATCTTTTTCTACTTTTCATATGTGTTTTCACGATGAGTAAGAATCGACGCCACCGTCTATCCATTTTGCTTCAGGATAATTGCCTCCTGCTGGATGATCCATTGAAAATCAGGGAGAAGTTGATAGCCTTGCGCATCTGCCTCTCCTAGTTTAAAGGAAAAGCGCTGAAGGTGGCTATGAGGGAAAGAATACAAGGAAAGAAATAGGAAAATAAATTAAGGTGAATAGGGAGTGGTAGCCTTCTGCTGCTTGGCGCACCATCTGGAATATGCTGCTACAGTTGTAATACCTGTCCACTGAGTTTAGTTTTCAATACAACAAACGAGCGAACTATCTTGCTTCAGTCTCACTGAAAGGCAACATTATTTGCACAACTGTTTATTTCAGTAAACACTTGTCATAAGTAATTACAAAACATTTTATTTATTTTAAGATAAGCCCACAAATTTGGCGCTAGCACAATCCAAGGCTGCTTCTTTCCGATCTAATACTATAGGTAAGTACATCAGCTGTGTACCAAACTTGCTTGAGTGGCAATGAAAATTGCAACTGGAGCCTCTGTACCGTCACTTATTTAGACATTTATCAAAAGTAAGCGAAAAATCCATAAACGATGTTTCCTAGCATTTTATGCGTGACAATTTAAGTAGTAATATGAATTACAATAAATTATTAATTGCAATGAAACTTGATCGTAAAGTTCGTAAATTAGGGCTGAAAAAGGGATATTTTCGAACCTTAATACCTACAATTTCGGAGATTGTAATTAGTATAGGGTAACGCACAATTAAGATTCAAATTATTTTCAGAGATGATTCATCTCTAATTATAACATTGTCCTTGCAAGCTGAAATAGAGTCTGTATTATATTCTGAAAATCGAAGACATATCTATAGTTTGGCAATTCGTTTAAGAAACTTCATCAGCCGTGTTAGTCTAAGTTACCGGGAGGAACTTACAGAAAATATATGTTGGCTTTTAATTAAACCATCGAATTTGACGTTAGAAAAAGCAGATTGATTTTTTTAAACATCTGAGTGTGAGATAAGAAATTAAGAATAGACATTGTAAAATGCTCGTGATCCGTAATTTAGGAATAAAATGAGTAGACTGCCTTGTCTGATTATAAAACATTGCAGATAATGATAATAATGTATGTACTTTTAAAAAATAATAATAATTTGAGTTAATTAAAACAAACTCTTTGGTGCTCACAACATATCCGAAATTAACCAAAACATATTGATACAATCTTAAATTCTCCGATAACTTGCTTAAAGTGGTGTAATCTATGATGTTGCATTGAAACACCATTAATAAAAATCTTGGTTTCTAAAGGTAGATAAAGCTGGTCCTGTTCGAGGCACCATCAATAGGACTACGCTTGTACCTCGCTGTTTCTAGCTTCACCAACCAAACTCCAACTGAATATAAAACCACATGTAGTTTTCATTTCAAGAAAACAACGACACACCAAATGCACTGAGCAATTCCGTATAATACGAAACTATCAACATACATTTAAATTGCGATACCTTACAATTAACTATTTTATTTGCGTGTTCCGCGAATTTCTAAAGTACTGTTGCTTCACAAATAATGCAATGCAACTCTTGTTTATCAATTTGCGCAAAACCCATTGTGTTTCGTCGTTAGTTTGAGCATTTTAATAACTTCCGAGTCTTTTTTATATATTTTATATATATATGCGTGGCCATTGAGCTGTTGCTCAGCAGCTGATGCCCGCAGCGCCTGAGATGGCCACCAAGCAACAATAGAGCGCTCCCAATAAAGTCGTCTGCTGCCATGGCAACTAGCGGGCTGCGCCGCATGCAGGTGACGTCAGCGTTCCGAAGCTCGCTCCGTTTCGAAACGAACCAATCACAAGTTGTCGGCCGTTAAACCACAAGCCACACCCCTTCCCCGCCTCCTTAACTGCCCGACAAACTGATCCCGACGCCGGGTGGAGTCCCGCCCCTCCTGCTTCGCCATTGAGCAGACATCACCAGAGATCCACTCACGATTGGTCAGCCGTGCCGCCAGTCTGGATGGTGACGGGCGAGGGCGTGGTTTTCATTTTGATGGACGGGAAGGGGGGAACGTCAGCGCAAAGAAAATATTTCCGCCATCAAGTTAGAGCGACACGGAGGCATGGATTAAAAAGCGAGAGAAGCGAATCATTTCGCTTTTAAAGAATAAATAGAGAAGGGGGAGGGGGAGCATAAAAAATAATAAAACAACACAAGGGAAAGTGTGTGAGAGGAAAAAGATTTTTTTCCCTTTAGTGTGTGTGGTGTTTGACAGGAATGGTAACCGTTAACTAAGGGTTCAGGGCAGCTCCGTGAGTGAGCCGGGCTTCGGTGGCGTGTGTGTGGAACTAGGATCTCAGTCACGGGCCGCCCTGTTGAGGGCGGAGTTTGCATTTTATATATATATTTTTTTCCTTCCCTTAAACTCTGACACGTCTGCAGTGAGTGAGTGGCATTGGCAGTCTGTCAATCCCTCACCAAAGCGGCCATCAAAACATAAAGAGTTGGCTCGTAAATTGATCTGGCTTTCACTGCTGGGGCAGTGCAAATAATTTTTATGATCTTTTTCTTTTTTATTATTTCCCTTCTGCCTTTTGAAGAGGCAGCTACTTTTACTTGATCTTGTTTCTATAGATATTTTTATGATCTTGGATTTTGCTTTTTAATTATTTTTCGCTCATCCACACGCAGCGTACCGGCTCTTGTAGCTTTTTTTTACTATATTGTGTTTTTGTATTTTTTTGTTGTTAAAAAAGGGGGAATTATAGACAAGTTTGAAAAAGGAATTGAAAGCACCTCAAAGCAACTGTCCCTGTCTTCTTCGGCTCCGGTGGTACCTGTGCTAGTTTCATTTCTTCTGTGTTACTGCTGCGGCAGAGTATGGACGATCAGTCCAGGATGATGCAGACTCATCCCGGTGTAAGCTTGGCTGGACACTCGGTACAGGGGGGCATGGGTTTGCCTCCACATGTGCAAGGACATGAAGGTGCAGACGGCGACGGAAGAAAGCAAGACATCGGGGATATCCTTCATCAGATCATGACCATCACTGACCAGAGTCTGGACGAAGCACAAGCAAAGTTGGTTGCCCGCAAAAAAAAACATTTTCCCCCTTTTCTTTTCTTTTCTTTTCCCTGTGTCTGATTTTGATGTCTTTAGCGCTCAAATTCGCCGCCATATTTTTGACTTTGAGTGCTATAAATCTTGTTAATTACTTATTATTTTTATATTTCAGGAAACACGCGTTAAATTGCCACAGAATGAAGCCAGCCTTGTTTAGCGTCCTGTGCGAAATAAAAGAGAAAACAGGTACAGCTCCGATTAATTTTAACACACTAATCGCTACACTGTTATACTTCTGCTAGCTGAACTCCAGCGACATGTGCACCGCCATCTTGATTTCTATTTCTCTCCTATTTCATTTTGTTCACTGGAATAATGCTTCACTAAATTTAACAATTCATAACCGTGATGCTAAATGAAATGTACATTAAAATGCTCGTATATCATCCATAACATAATCGCCCTTGGCATCTATAATAGAGCCGCCTTTGGCGCACTTTGCTGTACGCGGAGTAGAAAAGTAGCAGCGTGTGTAAGATTTTACATTACAAACTAAACTATGATCGGACTTTTAATTGGAAAAAAAATGACAATCGTATCGATATCTGGGGCAGAATGGGTTTTCTAACGTTGAAAGCGGATGTGTTATGTTTTGTTTTCTGCAGTAATTTGAAGCGATTGCGTTCGGTAGGAGATACTACTAGTAGTGTTATTCCGAGTTCAGTGTTTTGGGGAAATGTAATATTGTAAAAATCTAACAAAATGCATTTAGGTAGTCAATTACAGAATAGTTTGTAATACTTCAGTGTGCATTAATTATGAGAAAATGTATCTAGATTGCACAATGGTAGACTGGACCGTGTTGCTTTCACCCTCACAGCAGCTAGTTTTCCTTGCGTTTGTGCACAAGCGGGATTACCTACAATAGATTTTGAACTCGATATAAACAATATCTCAACTCGCGTACAGTGAGGATAATGTTTAAAGATAACGGCATTTTGTTTTTTTTAACTGCATATAAACTGCAACAAAATATCCCCAGTCTTTGAGTCTTAACTTTGAAGATGTTAAGTATCCTACAACTCTGGAATCAGTTTTAATGTTGAAAGTTTTTTATGATGCGATTTAGCACCCCATTTAATTCCACCCCATTGTGCAAAGTAATGAAGCAACGGGGCTGCATAAAATGTTTAGAATGACATTTCAACCTAAGTGCTTTCATTAGGATTCTTGAGCCTTTATTTCTTTTTGAGTGACCCATTCTGTGACATTTTCGCCGCGTGAAGCAGCTTATTGTTGATGCGTTCATTTAGGATTTAACCGGAAGATTTAACTCAAACAACAAATAACGTAAAGTGAAAGAACAGATCCTTCAAAGTTTGTGAGTCTGTTAGATGAACACGATTCTTACGGCATTTTACGTAGCAAGAAAGCACATCATTGCGGAGATTGGACTGGTTGCATTGTTATGATCAAGTTTTTTCATATTTTTCCTTCATCGGCCTTGATTTAACTTTACGTACATAGCGTTGGGTAAATGTAGAAATGTTGTAAATTAGACTTCTGTAAATGACGACAATAGTAGGTAGACACAGGTACATTGTTCCCTTTGCGTGAAATTGGAATTACGGTCGAACGGATTGGGGTACACGAATAAACTTCGACTAAATATAGCCATTTCCATCAAAAACAACATTGCAGCAAATCTGAAGGGAACATCTAGTGTTGCATCCTGGAAAATAAAGTTGGCTTTGTAGCAATGTTTTATTGTTGAATGTTCAGATTTGGATATTAGGAATCTGAGTTGGTGTCTAATATTTCTACATGTGGAAGGTATTCTTTCCCAAATGGTGACATTACTGACGCGATTTAAACAGGGTTGTAAAAACCCATTTTACTCTGGAGGCTGGCATCTGGAGGTCTTTAATAAAGAAAGCACAGCTATAAGAAATGTGCAAACTATTTTTCAGTAACATAGGAGGAAAGTTAGTCGGAAAGTGAATAAAACAGACGTAATCCTGTTGAAAAAATGTAATTTAACCTAGAATTACAGAAGTAATAATTTAATACGTTGTTTAAATAAATGTATCACACAGAACAGATAAATCTATTCTGAATGTCTGCAATCCTTAAAGTATGAAATAGAGTCCCGGCACAAATATTGCGTGAACAGATGGCGTTATTACACGAAATTCTTCAGTTCACTGGCGGATAAAAGTCTTGTATAGGTTTTGTAAAAGTATAATTTATTTAGCATTGGAGGAGACATATTTTCATTTTACTTAATCTTCCTGTTGATTTCGTAAGGAGGCAAATTATTACACTTTATAGTAAAACGTGTGGTTAGAATGTTACGACTGCACAAACGCATAGAGTTATGGAAAGGGAACATCTCTGCGATATAGAATGCAATGCGTTTATTTTGTTTTGCAGAAGAAATATGCACTGTTCAGTTTTGGACTGAAGTTAGCAATATCCAATAGCATCAGGAAAGCCAGTATTTGCTTCGTAGCTTCTGTGTAGTGGTTCTTTCCTTTTTTTTTGCTCAATAAATACATCATTGTTTTCCTCCACTTAGTTTAATTATAAACCGGTATATCTGGGTGGATTTCGCGGCTGCATCATCAGCTTTGTTTATCTTGTAAATATCCACTCATTCACAATTCAGGTTATACAGTAAATTAATTGATTGATTTTGAAACATAATGTTTCATGTTTGTGGCGCAAGATTTGACTAATTTATTTCTGTGGAGTTGATTTCAGGCCATTTGTCTCATAGAAAGTCTACTCAATAAAGAGGCATCTGCTATAACTACATTTAAAAAGTCAAGCAGATTGTATGCACTCCTTCACTTTACCACAAGGTAGCAGGCTTTTTCATAAATACAGGAATCCCCAGTAATCTTGAAAGTACTTTTCAGTCCTCATTGATCACATTTTTATCAGTTACCACTTTTAATAACTGATCAAAACTGTGGAAATCTAGGTTCTGTTGCAACACAATTAAATGGTTTAATGTTTCATGGAAGAATTATGAACTGGCTTTTTGTTGCTACGAATAGTATCTTGAACACATTAGAAAGTGCAGTGTTTAAAGATAGCGTTACTTTACATGTTGTTTGTTATACACATGTGTGCGTAACATTTTATTGACCTTCTCCAGTAGTGGGGATAGCCATATTTATTTTGTAATACAAGAAAAATTTAGATTTGTACAAGATGTCAGCAGGGTGCAGTTTGGTGAATCTTTTCCACTGTTTCCATGACAGAGAAATTTTTGTTTTGCAGACATAAACTTCCGTTTAACTGACAGGTTTGATTATAGGGGAGTTTCTCTTAGTATCACCATTATGTATCAGCTTAAGTTATTCTTTATTACTGTACTAGTATAGCATTCTGAATCAGCATTGATACCAATGAGCTTATATTTTGCTGAAGCTGTTTATGGTTACGATAGCCTCCACCAGTGTCAACACCGCTGACATTTATGTCTTTGAAATTAAGGTTGTAGAATTCACGTAATGTTGTGCCTTATATGCCAATATGGTCTGTTTAAATGTTCTTTAGTAAAGTAGAAATTTGAATAATAGCAATTTGGCAAATTCCTTACTTTATGTTTTCCTTAAAATGAAAACATTTTGAAGGTTTCATGTGTTGTGGTTCTTTAATGCATTTTGGTGCTTTTTATTGTGAACATATTTGAGACCATTTGTTTAAAACTTAATTTTTTACAACTTTTTAGTTTTTCCATCTTCATAACTTACAGCGAATATTAAAAATATAATTATGTATTGGATTTGTTTTTGTTACTCTAAAAATCAGGTTTCTTTTTAGTCTATAATGAATAATAGTTTTTGTTAATGTTGCCTATGGTTAAAGTTAACTTCTGTGCTTTTGTTTCACATTGTTCATGTTCTGGGATGTGAAACAAGTTAGTTGTCTCCAATGTGAAATAATGTGGTTACTTTATTTGGCTATAATCTTAGTAACTTGTTTATGAAAGGTAAAAGTATTGGAGAACTTGAACTGAAAAGATGTATGGACAGCTGTCAAATAAACTCTTAAGATAGAGTGCCAACTTGACTGAAAAAAAAGTGACATTTATTTGCTGCAACTGTCTAATGGTTATGTACTAGATAGTTCATCAGATTTGTAGCTATTGTGAAGCTTATAAGCGGAACAGACTTGAGGAAGATCATAAAACTTAATGAACTCTTAGGCTGCAGGAGGTGTCCGCAGGGGGAGTAAAAGGGCTGTTTGGCTGATTTGGATGGTTGAATTCTTTATGTCTAAAGAAAGAATATGAAATTATCATTGTTGTCTCAAAACTTTGTTGTCCCGTGTTATTTTTGACTTATTGTTAGTTTCATGTACTTTGTGTATATCATGTCAGCTTCGTCATGATTACATGGATTTATGTCTTCATCCTATATTTCACTTTATTAGTAAAGTAAGACCTGTGGTTCAAAACAAATACAGGATTGTTCATAAAACATCTTTAGTGTGTGTGTTAGTTCTTGATAAGGTGGACGCTACTTATGTTTTGATTGCTACGCAATGGCTAAATAATCCTGCCTTGTAGCTTGAACTTTTAATTTTTTTTACATGGAATTTGTGAAGTTCATTTCTGTTGCACAAGTTAGTTTAATCTTTTATTTTCTAGAATTTTGATTCACTGTACAAGTTAATCAAAAAAGAAAACAGAACCTGTGACATTAAAATAATTTAAGGATTTATGTTATTACAGATTAAAGTGATTATGCTGAGGAGCCAATAGATAGCTCAATAAAACTAGTAATGAAAATGCTGTTACTTGTTATACAATCTCCCTCATTTTCTTGACATAATCAGCACTAATATGCAAGAATAATTTAGCACTGCAACTTCTATTTTCAGTTGTTAGAATGAATATTTCTAAATATGAAGAGATCCTTTGATAACTGCAGTACAATGGTCTAAGGTGTTTCTTATAACCACATAATTATTATTACCACATTAGTATTAGGGCCGTAGGAACAAACCCAGGAGTAAATTAGAATTTAGTGAAGAGTATTGGAACTGTAGAAGCTTGCCATAATCTAAATTCATATCTACAGATATCTGGTATTGAGTTTTATTTTGTATGAAGCTACATAACTTCAATAGAATTGAGGTACAGATAAATGTTTTTTGTAAAATTTTAGAAAAGGCTCCAAATTTGCCATGTCAACACTGTCTGATATACAGTCTGTTTGCAAGTTGACAAC